ACATAGTTCTGACATCATAAATTGTCTTTGGTTTGCACCGCCTCGCATTGGGTTGAATCTCTTTTGCATAACAATCCTCAACAAAGCAAAAGCAAACGTAACTGTCCCCGGCAACAACGACAACATTTTTTCAACATTTTGAAAGCAGTTGACAAATGTTTTTTTCTCCAGCCAATGTAATCTATACAAATGACGAATGAATAAGTGCACAGATCGTGGCTTATGTTCACGTGATCTATTTTTTACTTTTCATGTCAATCTGTTTCCATGTAAAATCTAGGTACATCATTCTTGCCTGAATTGCAGATATTCAAATATTTTATCCTTCATTTCCTTGTTTTTATTACCGTTAAAGACATCAGTCATCAGCAAAGAGAATAAGTCTTTATAGTTACCAAAGATTCAAATCGTTATTTTAGTGTGATAGCCGCGCCATTGGTCTTTCTAAGCTTTTCTTAATCTGGAAGGAATACCCTTAAAACCTTACATCCTTTGCTATAACGTGTCATTGTGTGTGCTTATACAATCAGTTCAATGTGAATTGAAACTCAGTGTTTAAACTGGGGTTTCATGTGGTTATATAATGTGCATTGGAAAAGATCATTTTCCTTAATATACATTATTTATATTTTAAAAAAATGCTTGCTATCATCCCGATCATTTTTTCTTATAATTTCGCTCCCATTAAATATTCATTTCTCCAATTTAAACTGTAAATTTGGAAAAGAAGATTAAAGTCTTTCCTCTTTCCACACAGGGGATTATGTTTGCACTCGAAGTGGCGAATTATCTCTTTATGAAGTTTAGTTATGTCATCAATATAATTCACTGAATTTAGCCGCCATTTGTTTTGTTGCCTAATTTTTGGAGCAAAATCGATTGAGAAAGGTGTTCAAATTTATTAGTGATTTAACGGTGTAAGCCAACAAAATAAATCCATCCTTGTCGATTTATGCGCTATAAAAAAGAAAACGACGCATTATTTGTATGTAGAAAACTTTTTCTACACTTTAAGTAATCCTTTAACAGCTATTGGGATTGCAACTCTCCGCACGCTGATCCTGATGCACTCATTCCGAACGTTTTGAAGCCTGAATGTTTTTTTATCTATTTTGAATTTCCACATCCAGTATAATATTTTCCAAATTATAATTGAGAATGGAAAGGAGCCAAGAGTAAAATTTATCTTTAACATATAAATGCCGTTCTTGCGTGGATTTTCTTTGCATCAAAACAATACCGAAAGGAAGATATCGATTAATTTAAGTTTTTCATTAAGGGACCCTAAAGATCCGGCTAAAAGGACTTGCAAGCCGTTTCTCTGCACCATATCCCTAACAACGTTTTTGTGCTGCGAAACTTAGAGGATTTCACAGAGCAGCGTTTGTATACTATTTCTCCACTTCTTAATGCTTCTCGAAGTATTAAGATCAGCAGTTAAATACGTCGACTTTAAATTTTTATTCACACCTGGGTATGAATTTAGGCATTCAAATTTTGAATATTTTTCTGGCATTTTGTACTCTGAAAAATGTCAGTTTTTTCTCTGAAAATTTTTTTCATCTTAAAATTGTTCTATGAGTTACAAATCCTTTTTTCATGAATTGATGGTCTCGGGGTGTTGGTTGAATTTATGTAACCTCTTAGCTGCCGAATTAAACACAATTCAGTTCATTCTGTTGGCCTTTGAAGTTTACCAAACTATATGCAAGCTGAGTCAAGCCTCGTGAGATTTTTCCTCCTAAAATAAATATCCTATAATTCCAAATGAAATGATATTGTTGTGCTTTAATTTAAAAGGACAATTGTGGTATAAATTCTATCGGCATTTTTGGTCCAAACGTATGAAGTTCAACCAAGGTGCTTGCATCGTATGCAGCCAAAACTTTCCAAATTAAATCAATTATTGCTTCATGTCAATGAAACTATTGTTAAACTAACATGAAGATATATTTTATATAGTATAGTCATCGAGTATAAACATATGGTCATTGATGTTTTACCATGTATGGTCATGATGCTAGATAAAGGGAAAATATTCAAACAAAATTCACTCTGAAATTTGAAGGGTAAATGCATAGCATCAACACTTTTTTACAAGGATTGGTCTTTGAAGGTGTAGAAGAGGATTCCGGCAAAGATAATCTATAAGCATGAACTGTTTTGTGACAAAACCTAGGAAGATTCTTAAAGTTTTTTGCCATTTTTAAACAATTTTTTATTTCAATATTAATCGTTTTCAAACCAATGTTTAAATGACAGCGACCTGGATTAAGATGCGCTTAAATCGTCAATTTATTTCCTTCTTCCTAACGACATGATATGTAGATTAGAATACCAGGCAACTATTGGAAAGTGAAACTTCATTGCTAGCAAGTGTCACCTACGGCTTCAGAAATGCGAAAAGTTTGTTTACGGTGATATGTCTTTTCCTCGCGTTGTTTCGCGCAGCGTGTGGTTTAAAATCAGGGTTATTATATAAGAGGAGTTTGCCAGAACAGATATCCACTTTAAATTCGTGTTAGCGATCCTATTCGCCCGTTAGAGACTTGACTAAAACCCCAACCCGGCTAATCTTTCGCGCTGACCATTATGTGGGTTGAACGTGACACAAAACTCGCACTACTGTGTTGTTGAGCCCCAGCCTTAACCAACCAATCTTTAACCATTCACCATGGTAGGTCTCGGTTTATGTAGGAAATCCCAAATAGGACGTTCACCGTGATCGAATGTTTGCTTTTCTCCGAAATAGCTCACTTTCGAACAACAGCTGGTGTAAAGTCGCTTTTCGCTCAATGAATAAAGTTATGAATATTGGAATATATACTGTACAAACGTGGGATTAAGTGGGCCTAGCTTCTTCCAATTTCAACGGTGCTTTGTTTTTCTTGCTGATCCTAGTTTAAATCAGACATATCCCTTATACATACACTGATTAATTTGCTTTAGAGGCGTGTTATTACATGATTTCTCCTTAGTTTTCTAAGTAAGGTTAAAAAGTTAACTCAAATGAATGATTCCTATATGCGCGATAAATCTTTTTTCACCATTGTTAACCTTCGTGTCAACAGTTGTTTTTCGTTGAACGTAGCAACAGCCAGTTTACAGTCAGACAGTTGGCAGGAGACCAAACTTGGCTTGGCTGTGCGGCCTACGCAAATGCAAATTTGCGCGACCATTTTGCCTTTCCTCTTTTCCCAGACCACAACAAATACAATAACAACAACAACAACAATAACAATATTTGTAATTTTATGTCTTTTCCACACGAAACAAGTACTAATGGCAGAATGACAACAGTAAACTGAGATGTTACTAGAGTGTATTATTAGAGTGTGTAAGAAGGATATTGAGCGAATATTCAACCTACGCAATAATTTCGTCAGCATATCATTTCAGTGCCTGCCTGCCTTTTTAACAACAAAGACTAATGCATTCGCGGGCATCAGCTTTCGATGCCTTTTACCCCACACAAATTGATTTTTCTCATTCATGTTTTGTTTACTGTTAAATTTTCCCTTCATACTGCACCATTGTTACTACAAAAGTAAATTGTATTCAAAATCATATTATGGAAAGCATCTGTTACGCTTATCGCTGAAAGAATTATGAATGTTGGAAGCAAATTATAATTTGGAAGATTTCTTTTGATTAGAATCATATATAAACTCAGCTAAATCTGAGGTCCACTCAAGGACATTATTTGTTTTTGCTGATCGATCTAGCTTTCACTCACTCTGTTAATCGTTCGTCTCAACGAATTGCAGTATTGTAAACTTGTCAATACAATCAAGTGTATAGTGCTTAGAAGCTATGCAGTGAAAGAAACCAACCATTGCAATAAGGCAGACAAGCGATCCTGGGCGTAGTTGGTTCCCAGTCACTTATCATAATACTTTGATATCGCTGGAGAAACGGGTGGGCGGGTTGGTGGATTATCATGTCTTACTTTGGAATCAATATGTGTTTCAATATACGATATGTGTTCCTTCGACCTGTTTTTGAACTTAGGCCCAAATTAGCAGCTTATACTCCCTTAGGTTCCGCTTTTTCAGTACTTCAGTCTACGCAGTTTATGTAGTTATTAACAGAAAGCAGGAACAGCGTAATTAAACGAGCAACAAAACAATATAAATAGAAAATGACTTAGGAAACAAAAATATCTAGACGAAATCACCTGAAATGAAATGAATTTATTGTTTTTTCATCGCAAGATTCGATAAAAACAGCGAGTTTCCTATTTACCATTTGTCCTTCTAGCAAAACTAACGCTTAGCTTTTTTTCGTCTTATCTTTATTTGTACGCGAATCTTTTTCATCGCAAAAATGATAATAAAACAATGAAAAACTATTGCTTCGCTATACCAAGGACTCAGGCTAGGGTTATATATTCACAGGCTCAATAGATACTCTCTAAGATCTATTTAGTTTATTCTTCCTAATGTCGTAATAAATGTCATTCCAGTTTTTAAAGCTTTATAATAAGTTTAAGTCTAAAAATTATTCTTTCGGAGCTGTGCAGTTCTAATTCAAATTAATATTTTAATTGTTAACTCAGAAATATGCTTGATTTGTTTCTATGTTGAATTCCTTTGTTATGCATTGATGCTAAAAACTCGTGTTAGCATAATCTTATTTGTACTTATTTTCTCAGTAAGTCTAAACTTGTCACGGAATATATTCTCTTACATATTACCCGCAATTGATAATATTTATTAAAAGAACTCGATTTACTAATGGACCTCTTTGCTCAATATATCAGTTCAGGTCAAATGAATTTAGTATGGATCGTACAATAAAACCTCCACACAGACGTCAGCTGTGGAACGGAGCTTGTTAACTGTTACTTTTTGGAAGGTGTCTAATTTGTGGAGGCCATTTGCACATAGCTCTTATCATATGAAGCAAATTTTAGGATTCGGAGAAAACTTGTTTGTCTGTTGTTTGATATCTTCACTAAAGCACGGCAGACTTTTTTATGATATTTTTTTCAATCGTAGGTTCAAGAGGAGGTATTCTCTTATATTAACAAGACCAAGATGTTCAAGGAGATTCACGGCTCTCCATTCTTCCAGAAATTCGTTGCTTATCTTGCAGATTCTAATCAATTAAATGACTTGCTGATGGAGGCAGTTAGAAATGGCAGGTGGGGTATATTGTTTTATAATTCAGCTTGTTTACACAAAAAATGAATTCGAAGATGACATAAAGCTGGCATAATGTCCAACAGACATCTTATTTCTCCTATACACAAGTTTAGAAACACCTTTACTTTTCTGGATTTGTACTTTGTTAACTAGAAACAAGAACAGTTATCCACTGCATGCGCTACCATTTTATAATCATCGTAAATGACTCCGCGTAGCGCATGCGTAAGTGTCTCATGATGACATTGTTGTAGACGCTGGCTTCTGCGTTGCGCACAAAAAACTGACATTTTGTTTGAAGTCCAATTCGAAATCGTTTTACTCTCATTGATACCCCCTTATTGATTGCTCTGTTCTAATAGACTATCTCAGTGTTCACGATGCCATGTGGCCTATATCATAGAGTTTTGTAAATTCCTCTGTAGCTCAAACAAGGCCCATTGTTAATCATTGAAATGTAGATTTTAGTTCTTCTCTTTTCTAAAGAAGTTGAGCGGCTGAAAAAAATTAAAGAGCAGCCTCTATCCACCGCGAATTTTTCGCTGGTTTGCCCCACCTGAGGGATTGGAACTAGCTATAGAACGATAAATTTCCATCATGGCGTCGCGAACTCCGAGATGATCTATTCGTTCACGTGCAGTTGTAGCTAGTATTGCATTTTCACACATGCATCTGACTCAAGAAAAGTGTATGCAGCTGTGTCTGGGAATTATTCTTTGTTTAGACAGCATCTTCTTTCATGTCACTTGTCTCCTTTATGTTCTCATGCAAAGCATTCGCTGCTAGCTCGTTCTCAAATACTCAATTCATGGCAAGTTGTTGAATACTCGTATTTGTTCTGTACCGTTCACTAAGAAAACCTGCTGTGAGAAGACGAAGTTTGGTGTCTTGTACGTGGTGCGGTCAAATAACTGTTCTTGCTCTACAAATTCTTTTGATGATCCCTTGCCTCTTTCTAGAATTAAAAATGCAATACAGCTGGTGAATTGGTACGAGAAAATGCACATGGCTGCTGGGCCAACTGAGAAACAGAATGCTCCAGAACTAAGGGGAATTCAACGTTTGATGGTAATTTTTTCGTATTCTGTAACTTTTTCTCCAAAGGCAACTTTAACCTCACTGGCCCAAAAAATCTATCATTACACACCCAAACAATGTGCCTGCCCCAATAACTTGATGATTTTTGATAATCACTCCCATGCTTTTCTTATGGATAGCCATAAGGCACAACAGGGTGGGTTGCTTTCCAGTGCAAGTGCAGAAGCTGATTGTGAGCACATGTGAGTACACTGGGATAGACTATGTAACAACAGTTAATATTTATATGCGATTCGTTTTTGCTTGGAAGTCGATATTTGCAAGCGATTCTTTTTTGCTAGGAAATGCTAGTACTGCTGTTGTCCAATTTTTTCAAAATAGCAAGTTTCGAATCCTTGAGGTCCGTCATGCAGACTTTCGCGTTTACTTTTGTTTTTGCTGTCTGGAAATTTGCCATTTAGAAGTAGTTCTAATTCCATTCGAATTCACACTAAAAAAGCGAGAACCTTTTCTAGAGAAAAGGTTATTGGTACGAGAATTCCACTAAAAGGAGGGACGTTTGCACCAGCAATTTGATACTGGTTTTAATGATTTTCAGGTTCGCGTGCTGATCAGAAAGTTTTCATTTTGCTCAAATCGATTAATTTCAAGAGAATTATTGAAATGCACCAAGATTGCTCTTCTACGAAAAATAATCGCGATACTTTTTATACCAAAGTGTTCCTGTTTATAAAATTGAAAAGGAACCATGCACACACATTAATTTGCTGCAAGTGCCCTGGCAATATCATTGATTTTTTCGCGATGACGATTCTGAAGATGATTCTTGATTTCCTTGAGTGACAATCGTTGCTCTAAGGGCTATTCAAAACCTGTTTTTACATATTGAACAAATAAAACTCTGAATACCAGCCGATTTAGAGACATCATCACAAACCAACCAAAAGTTTTGAACCGATTTTGTTTCTATAATGGGACTGGCAGCAGAAAACTCTTAGTGGTGTTGCTATCATTAGAATCTTACTGGAGACTTTGAAATTTTTGCCAGTATGCAATAAAGAAAACAATTATCATAAAACTAAATAAAATAGTATTGATATTCTCCACAAGAATTCTTGAGGCAAGCTACCAAAGCCCAAAAGATCTTTCTTGGACCCAAAGGAATTTTCCTTCTAAGGCTGGCTTTGTGGGACCACAGATAAGGGTGCATTAGAATTACAAACATGTGGTTGTAGCTGGGGGTAGTTTCGTCTTTATGCAGGCATGTGCACCGTTGCTGCTTTGGAAGATTTTTGCTTCAAACTACGCGAGCACAAGCCTAGCTAGCTTTCTGTATCCACTGTGTTAATCTGTAGTTTGAGACATAACAAAGCTTCTACGTCAAAAATTGATACAATAAAATAACGACTTTGTACACGAGATTAATATTTAGTACGATGTTTTGAGCATAACTCTTTATCAGGTGAAAAGAATAGATAGAGAAACGGTTAAGAAGAGAATAGAAGAGTAGAATTGAAAGATTAACTATATGGAAGGTAGTAGGAATACGACGATGCTAGTACATCTTAGTTGCTTGAATACTCTTACATCTTAAAGTTGGTTATGTCTGCTAAGTTGATTATTGATCATTGTTTTAACTACTCCGTGAATAATTCATTGAAATTTCCAATGAGTCATTCCACAATTGATTGAATCAGCAAATCGCTGATTGTGATTAAGAATCATTTCATTGATGATTGGATCAAAAATCATCTAAACTGATTGTAAGCTGATATTGATATTTCGCAAATAAAGCACCCTGTATTAGCCGATGTTTTTCAATATTACACCAAGTATTATGGAATGCCACTCACTGCTCAGGGTACATTTTTCAGAATTGTTTCGTCCAAAAAGTTCATTTTCAGAATTTTTCTCTTCCAGAGCATATCTTTCTAAAATTACTTTCTCTACCAATTCTTAAGGCGTAAGTTTGGCATTAAGTATTTTCCGTGATTTTCTGCTAAATTATTTGAAATTATAACAGTTCAAAAAATTTTATCCTGGTAACAAAAAAACTAGTTTTATTGTTCTTCCACTTTTTATGCTTCAGCTAGGGAAGCAACGTTTTTCTTGAAAACTGGATAACAGTTTTGATTGCCAAAACTTAAATTTTGCTGATGCATATGATTTTATTGGTCCAAGCACCATTCTACAGACTGGATAGAACATTTTGTATTGCTTACTTAACCTAGGCCTGTACGTTTGGAATTTATTTGTTAGCAGCGCACTTCCAAACCCAGCATAACAAATAACAATTTAATGATAGCCTTAAAGGCAATCGAGTGATGCTAAAGGGGCCTAAGCCATCTTCAATCAAAAATTGACCAATCAGTGAGCGCGATTCCACTGACAGGCTCATTGATAGGCTAATATTGATTGACAGTTGGCTAAAGCAACTTTTATATCTGTCGATTTCCTTTTACATAAACGATAAATTGCCACGAATTTGGTCGCTATCTTCCCTTCTACAGAGACCAAAACTTTGAGATATGAAACCGTTTTGAAGGGGAATAGGAAGATAAAATGTTTGAAATTAAATTTATCATGCTGCAGTCTTCATAGCAGACAACAAGTACTGGACTCTTCCAAAAAGTGACAAATGATTTATAACTTATTTTCTGCAGTTAAAGCTAGAACCTGATATCGGGTTGTAGCTCTTCTCTAAAGAATCCGGCATATAAAGCTTTATGTTCTTAAGTATGTAGAATGAGTATGTACAAGGCTTTATGGAAAGTATGGGAAAATGGAAACATTTCGTGCAGATGTTTATACACCCTTCAAGTTCAGTATTTATCAGCAGCAAATAATTCACTTTCTCTCATTCATTTAAAAAACTTCAATCCAAGCAGATGTACCTTCTTTCTTGTTTCCCAATGTCGATAAACTTTTGCCATTAACAACTGCTTGCAATGAGTTAGAAGGCTAGCTGCATTCTCTTGTGGCTGCCACCTATCCTGAAATTCACTGTTGAGGTCCAGTTGTTTTGCGATCGATACCAGTATTTAACGAGAAATCCCACTGTGTTATTTAGATAATATGTATCTTCTAAGCAATATGAGATTTGTATTCTTTTCAGCATTATGATATATGCCATCCTTATGTTGTTATCGCATTTTATCTTTCAGTGCCCTCGTTGTTTTTTTAGATTTGCCTGTTTTTTCTTGTCGCGACCCAAAAGTTTATAAAGATTTAACTCATCTATCTTGCATTACATTACAGGTTTATTTGCAAGATCACAACCTGTTCGAGGAAGCTTTGCCATACATTTCCCAACTTGACGATGATGAATACTCTGTCCAGATTTAATACCATTTTTGTTACAAGTTCTACATGCTGTGAAGAGTTGAATACCTAAACCAGTATCAATGTAGACGAGTTTTATTGCATATTTTCACGGTATGTAAGGGGCGAATGCAAAACTGTACAGTAAGGTAAGCTTTTCTGCTCTATTTTTGTCAATCTGCGAATAAGGAAGACCGAATCAGAGAAAAACAGGGTATAATATTTAATACTTTATAAAAATGGCAATAATTATCCAATCTAAAAAGTCTAACATGAAAAAGAAAACAAATCGATGAATACGCCATTTTCACATCGAAGAAACCTGTACAACTATTGTCAAGAAGCTTCCCCACAAGGATTACATGAATAGGAATTAAAACTGAAATTGTCTTGCTTCTATAAGCAGTTAAGCATGTATTTAAATATTTGAGATGCCTTGAACCTGAGTCTTTAGTTAGCGGCTCATCTTAATGTGTGATATTTTTCATATATTTACGGATGCTTTCATCATAATTGAAAATTTCACCCAGGAATTCTGTTGCTCAAGTAGGTAGCAAGTAACTGACTGGGCTCTTTTCCTGTGCATCTCTGTTTGGGCTTTCTATCCAAGGAGACAAAAGACAGACTGAGATTTTAGATTCCATCACTGCTCTGATGGCAATCTAGGTAGACGACTGTCTATAATCTTTAGTGTCCAGAACCTGCTTACCACACATGGCACATATACCTAAAAATTTAAATATAGCATTTAGCATACTAGTTAGACTTGACCATATGAATTTGCTACTTAAGTCATAGTTATGCAGCTGTTATGGGCAGTGGTAGAAAAAGTTTACATTCCTGCGAAGCGATTTAATCAAAACTCAAATTCTTCTTTCTAATGTTTTTTGTCTTTTAGCATATTGTTTTTAAAGAGCTGATAAGCTACTTCAGCCTTCTTCGGCCTACAGTTATCAGTTATTAAGAGTTTTTACAATTTGCCAAGTTTCTATTTTTCGATTGTTCAAATATTCAGAAAGCAAAAACATTTGTATTATTAGTTTCTTACTCGGCAGCAAGCTTTTATAACCAATAAAAACTTCTAATTGGTTCTGAATTATTTCTAAACCGTTACGTAAGCAAGCCAGTCCATAAAAGGTAATCAGGATAATTTTAGATTTATAAGAAACAACTACTTTTGATATGCAACAAAAAGAGGCTCCTGCTTTTGGCGTCTTGGGTCAAGCTCCTTTCTTTCTCATCTTCGTTACAGTTACAAAAGAGACGTCCTAAATTAATCTTTCACTTTACCTTTTTGTATTGCAATATACTTAAGCTGCACTGTTCTGATAGTCTCAATAAGATATTTGCATCTAGTGTGACCCACAATTGAAAAAGACAAATAACTGGTCTTGAATATCGTCCTTTCTCTCATTTCGCACTCGTTTCCTATTTCCCGTGACCATTTCTTTCTTGCATTCCTATTCAACTTTGGTCATTTTTCCAAACATGTTTTCTAGTTTCCTTATAGCAATTAATTGTTTGCGCCGAAAATATTTGTAGAATAACTTCTTGTAATAAAGTACCGCAAAAATGGTATAATTTGCGGAAGGGATTTTCAAGAATAAAAGCCTTCCCCCAAACTATGCAGCATTAATTTTTGCGATTGACAGCTTTCCTCTAGACACTGCGGGTTTAAAGTTTGTAATCAAAAGTTTCTGACATTGCACTCTTCCAAAATTCCTGTTCTCAACAGATCAGTCAGAGAAGATACACAGTTTTGGTTGTGATTTTAAGGGGCGGGGAATTTTTAAGCGTTATTTGACTTTGCCCTCCATTTATCTTCCCTTTTCTTCTCTACATTCCTTTTTATTCTTCAAATCATCCCTTCTTTTTCATTTTCCCCTCTCTCTCTCCCTTCACTTTCTGCTTTTTTTCTTTCTTTCCTCTTTTCTTTCCCCTTTTTCTAAGGTTCCCAGCTTCACGCACTTTTTCCACCTCTGATGATCGTGAGTAGTTAAACAGTTATTAAATACCACAAAGGCTTGATATTCATTAATTAAAAATCCTGGATGGAAGACTCTCGTTCGCTGTGTCATATAAAAAGGTCTGACAGAGTATTAACTAGAAGGTTTTCTTTTTGTACTTTTTATACGGCTTTCTATGATTAATTTACTATAAATTTTCAGCGAAAAATTGCAGAAAACCTGATAAAAGAGAAATTTTACTCCTCAAAAATCTAGAAATCGCCAAAGACCTTTTGACCTAAAAAATAGATACCATGGTCATAAGTGAAGGCATAAAGACACTTACCTTTTTTATATGCACATCCTGTGTTTTATTGTACATGAAAGAAAAATAAATAGATAAATTACTATCATCAACGAGGATCCTTGAATAAAAATTAAAATAAATTAGAAAACTGTCACAATGTGGCAAAGATACAGCTTTGTCTTACCACCCGCAAATTCAAATTTGAAATGATTACATTTACTTATCTAATTGCAGCAAAAATGATTGATTCTTCAAAAATGATTGATTTGTATGTAATAATATTGGTGCCATCCAAAGATCCTTCGTTGAAAATCAATCAAGTCATTTTCTAGGCCACTGGGAATTACTTTTAAAAGGGAAAATGGATATCTCCCGCACTCTAGTTTATAAAAACCAGGCCTTAACTTTATTCTTCTAATGGCTGTAGATCACTTCTAGGATCATGAGAAATACGAATCCACATGTTCTTGCTTCTTAGACTGCCAACACTGGCTAATACAGTTGCAAATTGAAACAGTCAAATATTTGAACAGGTGGCAACGAGCTGCACGTATGCTAAACAGGGTAATTGGTGAGCAAATACACCAGGAACTGCAAATATAAAGCTTATTTTGACAATCATCAGCCTTTTTTTGACAATCATCAGCAGATGAAATAAGCCAAATCTACTGTTCCTTTTTCCCATCGTTAGCTAGAGTATTCGACGTTTATTTCTGCATGGAGCTGCTGCTTATAAGAACATGAAAAATTAGATCCTACGTCATTATTGCGAAACTTACAAGTGATTTCGCCCTCTTCCCACTTCCCAGTAACAACAACAAGAAATGCCTGCCTTTACAGTAATCGTACCAAATTTTGGTATATGGTCTGTTTGTACCCATTATAACATTGAATTTCTTACCGATCCTCTTCCAACTTAAAGCAAAGGTGATTTTTATTACTTACATGATATCGCATCTTACATGACATTAGGAGAAATGCAGTTTTAGTGTTCAATGAAGCAACTTTCATGATGGAAGAAGCCAGCCAGATGTGGTATCACGGAATGAAATTTCAACACGGATGTAAAAGAGTGGGCCCTCTTTATATCCTTAGGAACTTTTGCTGGCAACAGCTTCATTCCGAGTCCCATGTACCAGCCCGAATGATTATCCTTTCTAAGAAAATGTATTTCTTGCTTGAAATTTCTTGGCAGCATCTTTCAATCAAGTTTACAATAGGAAGCAAAACTTGACACTGAAAACCTAATATAATCGTATTTTTTTCCCTGCTTTGAACTGCATTTCATAACAGAGCGAAATATTTTGGTGAGTTTGCACTTTAGCGATTAATTTCATATTTTGGAGATAATTTTTGCGATAAACTTTCATATTTAGACCAAGTAGCTTAAATAATAGCCATCGAAATTTGTTATAAGCAACAACTTAACAGTTATTGGTATATTCGGACTAAATAAACGAAACAGGTTTCTTGAGCAACAATTTTTCCATTTGGTTTAAGCGATAACCTTTCCTCTAAAGGAAAAAGCCCACTTATTGGATAAAGACGTTTGAACTTCAAATAGCATTTAAAATTTGATATTGCTCAAAGCCACATATTGGTATCAAACATGTCAGCTACAAGGTGAAGCTATGGGCCTAAACTTTATTTTTTAACTTTAAACTTTAGAAAGATTACAGGCCACTGATTGGACCATAGAAATAAATATGTAAAGAGGACTATAATTAACCTTGGCAATAATGTGATCCAGCTTGATGCACGCTTTGTTTGCATATCTTGCATTTATTAAACTGGCCGTACGGGTTGAATCTAAAATAAAACGAGAAAAATATCAAATATAACCAAAGCCCAAAAGCCTGTAACGTGGGCACCCTACCCCTTGTGAGCAGATTGCTGGGATAAGGGATAAGCCTTGGAATGTCTTGGAATTAACCTCAGAAAAGAGTGATATTAACCTCGATCTCAAAATGAATGTGATGGTACAAAATCCATTAAAAAATAAATGCACTCCTAAGTGAATGATAATAGATAACCATTCGCGGAAATTAGAGGTTGAAGTTTTGCGGAGAATGCCCTATAAAACAAAAACGCGCTTAAAGTGGCGACAGTTGACCTAGGACAACTGGCTTTAACAAGCATACACATTATTTTGATCCACAATTCAGATTAAATTCTTGCATTAATCATTTAAAAATCTACAGGTAGTGTAATTCGTTTAAAGCTAACATTGAATATTCATTTTGCAAAGCTACGCTATTCAACGCAGGAAACAGCTTTTTTTCAAAATGGATCGCTGTTAAACGGCAAACAATAGTTCCGTGGCTTTAGAGGGTGCAAGAAAGAACGCGGAAATAAAAGAACAATAGCACCAGTCAACAAGTGGATGATTTCGTAGAAGGAACGATGGCAGGTAATGATGACTGTACAAAGAGCTTTGCCATAACTTAGAACCGGAGCGGCGATGAGACGATGACCACTCAAAGGGAATCAAGCAAGCAATACGACACGCCGCAGGTAGATTTCAGATATTTCTATGTTGGCAATACGATTTACAAATATCTATAAAATGTTATATAAACTGAAATAATTTTCCTTTCACGTGACAACGACCTGAATTCTTAGCGAAGGCCATGTTATCATATGGGTATACCAGTATGGCCTTCTTTTTGCCTTTGCTTTTCCCGATGAATATTTGGACCTTTGTGGGCAATGTTTGGCTTCTTCTTGGTTAACAGTTAAATATAAAGACCTTACTATTTTACATCATGCCAAAATATTTTCTACTCCTTTGTTTCAAATTTGGTCACTGCGAAAATCAAAACAGAAGCAAACTTGTGCCGAAGACTGCCACGTGCGATTAACGAATTTGGCTTGTTTCTAGCATTGAACAGGAGGGACAAGAGATTGCTGGCATGGATAGAATCTGCTGTACTTTAAGCGTGTTCGACTTTTTCACCAACATCAAGAAGCACGTGGAAATTAAGCCAGAGACCCCGCCCAGTGGAAATGTAAAGGTTAGTTTGAATTCAAGTACGTAGTCGCACCTTGTTAATGGTAGTTCTATGTAGCATTTAATGAACATTTTGTGCACAGTGACAAAGGAGTTACAGTTCAGCTCGATCAACAATGCTCAGCTAAAATATTGATGGGTTTTTCTTCGTATCCTTTAAATGATTAGAGGAAGAACTCACTTAATATGTTAGCTCTGATCCCAACATCAAGTTAAATTGTTGTGTAAACAAAATTTAAAAAAAAAACCAGCAAAAATTGAAAAATGAAAGAATAGCAACAGAATAACAGAAAGCGATTAACAAAGTAGCATCGAAACAACAGTTAAACAAACTTACTATAATGAAGCCAGTTCAACACAATCGATATCAGTTTAAATTAAGAACAAAATAAGAAACATTTGAGAATGAAATTATACGAAGAATTAAGAAACGCCAGGCTGAAATTGGAGCCAAGTGTGCTTAAATAAAAGCATGCAGCAGAAAAAGTCAAACATTACACTGAGCAAGCATGTGGGAGAGGGCTGCTGTATCAAAAACTTATTTGTTTGATCAATGCTTTAGTATTATATAGCTTCCAGCATAAATAACCAAGCTTCTCTTTTCACTGCAAATTGGGTCATGGCGATTTGAACCAATCCAAAAACACTAATGCACTCTCCATTGGCCTCTCAAATCAACAGTGCGGTCAACATGACCTTGTTTTGTAAGATATAATTCAAGACCATTATTCAGGTGAACGACAGAGCTGTGTAATCATTAATCAAAAGATTGGCTAGAAATTTTCGAAAGCTGCCCAACAGCAGAACCTTCATAGCATGGTACTATGTAATTTTCATGCCCCAAGAAAGGTGAAAAGATCATCTTTCCTATGAAACGCTTTTTCTATAAAAATTGGTTATGTCAGATTCTGCTTAAAAACAGATTATCTCTTATTCACTAAAATTACTTGGTGAGAATGATGGTGAGAGTCGGTCGTGAGAATTTACCATCCCCCCTCTCCCCTCTCCTTATCTCCGCTCTGATGATCTCTGCTATAAAATACACCTGTACACTTCGAACTGGGGTAGGGGATAGATATTGGATTTTATATGCATGCTACCCGGCACGTAGATGGTAGTTTTTCTCCAACAATCTTCTCGCAAATTCACCCCTATGAAGCCCCTACCAAGCTCTTCCAAGCTAAAAAGTGCAACGCTTTATTATTCGTTTAATATCAGGTTTTATAGGGTTAAACCATAGAAATATTAACAGCTTTGCCGACTGTATTGTGGGTTTTAGCCACTAGTAAGAGGGGCGAGTCACACTAGCGAAGGAGGTTATTCAATGATCGAGAGATCCATATCACATGGTGTACCTCAAGGGAGTGTTTTAGGCCCCTTGCTTTTTTTCTTTACATTAATGACTTGCCAAATGCAACAAAAGTTTCAAGTCCACATCTTTTTGCTGACGACACAAGTCTCTTTTATTCTCACGGTAACATATCCATACTTGAAGAAAATATAAACACTGAGCTAGAGAAGATATCTCAGTGGTTTATTGCAAATTAGCTGTCGCTTAACACATGTAAATCAAACTAGCTAATATTTTCCCCAAAAAATAAGAAATCAAATTGAAAATATAAAATAAAAATTGAAAATACTGAAATAGACGAAGCTCAAGTTGTGAAATACCTCGGGGTGCTAATAGACAACAAATTTTCTTGGAAGGCAAAGGTACAACAAATTAATTTGCAAATCTCTAAAGGTATTGGCATCATTGCTCGACTTAGGCATTATGTTCCTAGAAAAAGACTCGCCAATATTTACAATTTATTTGTAAAACCACACATTAATTATGCTCTTATAAATTGGGGAGGTACCTTTGAAAGTACCCAAGACCCTCTTAAAAAAAAGCCTTAAGCGTGCTGTGAGGTTAATTGTTTTGAAACAAAAGACTGCCCACGGCGATTCTTTGTTTCGTCAACTAAATCTCCATAATTTAGAAGAATACTAAAAAATAGAATCAGCAAAATTCATGTTTGATATCATTTAGAAAATAGCCAGCACAACTCTTTCAGATCTTTTCACATCAGTTGCATCTGTGCATAATATCCGCACTAGACAAGCAACATCTGGCAATCTATCACAGCCAGCAGTAAGAACAAATCCTAAAGCAATGCCCATAATAAATCAAAGAGTTACACTCTGGAATAATATTCCCTTGGAAATAAAACAATCCAAAAAAACATAACTTTGTGAAAGCCTTGAAAAAAGGATTCCGGACTAATTTTGTCACCTTGAAACTAATTTTATAAGTGATTTCTGCGAGAAAACTGTCGGTTCTCAATTTATAAGCATTTATATTTGATATTAGGTCTTGGCATCTTTTCTTTTATTTATTTTTGTTTTTTATTTCGCTTAGTTTAGTTCTTCATTGTTTTTTTTATTAATTTGTATTTGTTTACCTTAACCTTTATCCAAAAATGTTTGTCTTAATGTTGAAATTTTTTTCTTACTCAATGTAACTTTATGCATGCAATATAATAGGACAAATAACTCGATAGCTCATCTGAGTTCTTCTTTTTTGCCCTAAGTTTTATCAATTTTAAGTATGTTCAATCATGTAGCCTGTAATTAAAAGCTAGAATTTATTATAATTGAATTGAATTGAATTGAATTGAATTGAAAAGAGTTTGGTTTATCAACTTTGTTGGCATGAGTAGGGCGCCAGCTTAAGTCGGTACCAAAGTCACCGTTCTGTCATGTTTTTATCCTATTTCAATTTTGCTGGCTCCTCTTCGGCTGTGATTTCCAGTGAAATCCATGATTTGGCTTGGGCTCAGCCATCATTGGGATATGCCAGTTATTTCCCAAATCTCGTCACCATTTCATAAATAATTTATATAACACAATTCTGTCATACCACATCTTCATGAGTTTGAATAAGGAATACAAAAATCAATTACACTACCATTCCACATACATAAAGACTGTTCTAATTGGCATAATTTAAACCTTGGGAAAACATCTCCCACTCAGGTTTCAATATTTTAACCAGCCTATCATAAGGACGAGCGAAAACACAACATTAAAAGCTCATTCAACTAAATTAAAATACAGTGGTTTTTCTCAGAAGGGAAATCAACCTTACAGTCAATTGGCATGCCACACTAGACACTTCTGGTAGGTTTACTTCGTTCCCAGTTTCAAAACATGAACGCAAACCATTTTGTGAGTCTATTGTGTGGAAACTATTGACACTAGCCTTAGAATAGCATCAGCCTTCAATAGCTATGGAGGTGAATGAAAATCTTTATCTTGCAAGATTATTTACTATTCATTTGCCACATTTCAGCCAGTTACCTTTATGATCAGATGTAGCGATGCCAGTTCTACATTTTGAAAACTAATGAATGCATTTAAATTCATCAGTTACATTGTTTTTTAATTTTCATATGAAACAAAGTGCGCCAGTGTATGTCTTTGGTGCTTTTGAGAGTTCTCCAAGCAAAACTGGTTAGTCTTCTCTTATAGCAGCTTCGTATAGAGCCACAGCAAGTTTAACCTAGATATCCTCATTCTGGTGCCGCCATTATCCACGTTGGAGAGACGTCGAGATTCACCTCCTACCCCAGATCAATGTTTGTACCTCTGTTATTAAGGACGTACAGCCAAAAGTTGAATGATTTAGGGGGGTACTGGCCGAATTTTAGATGCCTGGTAGATGCCTGATAGATGCCTGGTAGATGCCTGGTAGATGCCTGGTAGATGCCTACTGCCGGGCACGTGTTTAGGGGTTTGTCACAACAGTTCTATCTTAGATTGTTGATGGACATATTTAGTGTTCATCGGAACATCGATCGATGATTGACTAAAATGTCCATTAAACGACAAACATGCTATCTTCAACCAGTGCGATCTTATTTTACGTGCAGAGGACACGGAGCCAGAGAGATGCAAACTGTTTGTGCAGTGTGTAACGTGTTTTCTACTGACTGATTATAATTTACAAAAGTGCGTATTGATATAGAAAACTGGCAAACTTAATTAAGAGTTATACAAAGGAAAGGATATGCTCGATGGTTAACAATGGTGTGATGGATTAGGTTAAAATGACGTGTAATTAACATAGAGAATGATGAATATAGAATTACGTAGGTATGCAGAAGAAGCAATGATGGATTGTATAAAATGGCCTAAATTGAATCACTACACATATACTCATATTACATAAACAATGAGTAATACCTCCCGAGTCATGCCAAAAGCAGCTTGCTGCTTCACAACAAATTTCTGTTACATTTCCAAAACTCCGATCACTTAATGTGAGAATTATAATAACTGACTTATAAGGACAATCAGTCAGAATTCCTTGTGACCAGACAGACCTTGAAACAATCTGTCGAATGAAGACTCAGTAGAACTGATAATGTATTTATTGAGCTGCCTCCATTTCAGCTGCTCATAGCAACAATCAAAGCGCATTATAAATAACCTCTTACTGATGCTCTAAAGAGAGCATTCAAAATTCATTTAAACAAACATTTTGCTTGAGAAATAAGAATTGCGCAGCCACCTACCTTCCTTTCTTTGAAAGAAGCTTGTTGGAGCCGAGCTTTGTGCCACCTGATGCTACAAAGAATAGAAAAGCTGATAAGCGTTCAGATATTGACGCTAAAATTATCAGAACCTGGAAAACAGGTTCGTAAGAATTATTCATACGGCACACTTAATCTCTTGCATTGAATTGCGCTTGGTTACAGGTCCATATGCAAAGATATAGATTTGAGACAGCGTCTAGCATTAGAAAAACTTCAAACATTACGAAATATGCTGCAGGATAATGTCACTGAATCAACATATGTTGATCAAAAATGAAAATTTTATTTGATAGTTGATCCTGATTGTAATGAAGGAAAACTTGAATCTGGACGTTGTCAAAAGTAATTAATTTTAGGTCCACAACGATGGTACGCTCCAGTGTTTGGTAAGAACATTGCCAATATACCTATAAGTGAATACTACGAGTGGCTATCTGAACCCAATAAATTTGAAAATAGACAAAACTACTAAATTTACAAGAATAAATTATTATCGTTTTTCAACTTTGTACAAGTTGGTTTGAAAAAACAGATGGCTGCATGTCACTGGGTTCATTATGAATATTTCGATTTATTCCATTTTGACCAGATACATATCATAGAAAACCAAGCATTTGCAGCGGATGCTTTTTCACGTCCTATGAAATACTTTCGTTTCAGAAAAAGATACAATTTAGAAGCATCAATTAATTCAAAGTTTTCAACTGATATCAATTTTTCTAACAACTTCGATTTGATATGATTGATTTTATTCGAATGCACGTCCTTTGAAAAATGACGTCACGAAAACGTGTATGGAGAGAGGCAACTTTTTATCATTCTTCAAACATTGAGAATCAGCATTTCTCTTATACCATGGTGAGATGTATTGTCCACACCACAGCTCAAGAACAAACGTATTCACTCTTTTTTGGCGTTTAAAATAAACAACATATTCGAAGCGGCAGCAATCCATTCACAAGCCAAGCCCTATATGCAGTGCTTTCTAATGGCAATTCACTTCTCGCAGTTGGGAATTCAAAACGTACTATTGATGAATTGGGAACAGGGATACCAGTCGTGTAATGTAATGACGAAAGCGCGTGGGAGAAAGGAAAAAGGGGAAAAACACATCTCTGCTGTCTGCCTCGATATTTCCGTAAAACAACAAGCTGATAAGCAAGATCCCCTGGTCCTAAGCAAGATAGCCTGGAAGCAAACAAACTTCTTTGAAATCTTAATAAGGAGTGGGTCATTGAATAAACATTTCAACTTATCAGGAAGTAATTTACAAAAAACTGCATGCCCCTATCACAATTGCTTTGATTGTGTCTGTGAAGGATTATTGCCTTGAAATTATAATGCAGTAATCACTAAAGCGCAGTCACTTTTAAAACTTTTGAAAAAACGTCATGCTTGCGCTGTAAGCATTTTAATTATTATAAGTATTTGGTTTGCCAAAATCAGCACATACGGGGATTCTTGCCGATACATAGCTGTTCTAAATCAGTACAAAGCATTGATCATGTGGCTCTGTCACCAAGACAAAGCGTTTTTTTCATTTCTAGTCGGACCTGTTGTGTCATCAACAATATTATCATGCATGCCATAATGAATTATTACACTGAGATTAGATTCAATGTAGTTGAGATTGAATCGACATCGTGGTCGTTGTGCTAGCACAAAACAAAGCTGTAGTGATCTATGCTCGCCCTGACTGAAAATGAAAGCAGGTTGTATTTCAAGAAAGCTATGCATTGGATATCGTCCATTCTTTTTATTAAAATGATCATTAATTTCGGTTCATGTATATCAGTAATACATAAAAGACAAAGTCGGGTTTTTGTTGACGTGGAAAAGTGGCGAAAATCTGCTGAAGCAAGCAAACTGCGTCAAAATAAAGCCAAACAGGTAAAATACAATTTCTTGTTCATTAAAAAGTTACTTCCCCACAGTTCATAAAGTAATTCTTAAAACCTCTTTAAGGCATATTTGTATCCCTTCTGTGGTCCTAGGGAAAAGCTTCCTTCAATAAAAATATGAAGCTTTGTTTTTTTTCATCTCTGTTGTTCGTTTCTTGTAGTTATATCACTGTGGAAATTTTCCGTTTAATATTTTTTTGCACAATTTTGGTACCTTTAATCTGATAACAATTCTCATCAAAATTTTATAAACCCATTTCATCATACTGTATATTCACCAATTACAATTACATGTCTGTTTACAATACACAATACATCAAGGGAATTATATTGTAACTAAGCTTTGAAATCATGCACTTCTAAAAGACTTGATCTGTAACAACACTCTCTGGCAAGTCAAAATAGTCTACAGAACTGACAGAATGTATTGCTAGGATAAAATTGTCTAAGAAAGACCAGACCCAGCTGCTTGTTATGCCAGACATTGAGGTCTCATCAAAGTCTGGAAGGAGCATTTCTACTGTATAGTATATTATATTAAAGAAAGGTTTTAGGACTTGTAGACATGCTTAGAGCATACCATCTTTGTATGATACCTTTAGCTATTACATTAGGAGAATGGGACTTTATTTTTACAAAAATAAATACTTTTGAAAAATGTTTTCTCTGGAAATAGATGGTCATGCCCGGCATGACAAGCATGACCGCTAGCTACGCCACTGACCAATGCTTCACTGGTTTTAAAGGAAGGTCTTCAAATGGACAAGGGGAATAACAAAAAGCTAATATTTAAAGCATTATCAAAGACATCAGTAGAAAAAACCAGTTGCTTTCCCTAACCCTGTTAAAAATTAAAAATAGACCATATCTGCTTGTTAATTCTCTCGATATATTTGACAAGAGAATTTGGAAAATAGCTTATAAGAAAATTAACATAAATCAATGAGCCAAAATTTCAACGTGCATTTAATCTGGCTCTGTATTACATGTGTCTTTTTTATTGTCAAATTAGAAAAAATGACAAACAGTTTAAAAAAATCATTGATCTCAATGCTGATCTTAAGAAACCAAAATGACTTTGAATTCTGTTTTTTGCTTTTTTAACAAAATAGTGCATAAACCCAGCTATTTCTTTCAAAACAGTAGAAAATCACAAATTACCCTTTTTGTATCAAGTCGGAATTGTTTTTGTTTTAAGTTTTTCGCATATGTTCTAATGCGCTGGTGTAAAGCTGGATAATGCGTAGGTAACTTTATAGAGCCATTTTAACAGTTAATCATACTTTTATATTAGAACCAAACTTGGCAAATTGTCCATTTAGTAGCCTTCTGGAATTGGCAACTCCGAGTTTATCCTCCAGAAAACCCATGTATGCCAGAGAAAACATCAAACCAAATTTGATTTGTTTTTAAATATTTTTGTTCCATTAGTCAACTCCTTTTTATACTGTTTCATTTTCATAAAAAGGAGTTACAATGCTGAAAATTTCTAGAACTTTTACCTTGAGCATTTAAATGAAATTTGACAAGGGGGCAATTTTCTGTCGGGTTCTTATCCTATCTTTTTCAGCATATCAAACTGTCCTGTTTTGCAAAATTTAGTGCTGTAGTACTAAAGTACGATTGAGATGCAATCAAACCGTCTTTTTTGGTCTGGAGCAAAGAACCCCAGTCTAAAAAAAGAAAAGTGGGAAATTTTCAGTTATATTCTATATCCTATCTTTTGTACCATTTCAAACTGCCCCATGTTGTAAAGTTTCGTTCTATTATACCTACTTTCAGGAGAGATATTGTAATAACGCCATTAGGGGCTTGGGGCAAAGAACCTCTGTCTAAAAATAGCTGGCAATTTTCAGTTGGATTGGGTTGGGTTCCATATCCTATCTTTTTCAGCGTATCAAACTACCCCTTTTTGCAAAATTTCATGCTGGTATCACAATTTGCAGAATTGTTTGACTAACAGCCCTGACTAAGTGGTATGGTGTGTTTACTGTGAAGACAGAACCAACTGCAAACCTGTCACTGATTCTTATGCTTTGTCACTCGCACTCATTGTTTTTAAAACCCCAAAAACGAACTTTCCCGTGCAAATTTTCGAGTTAATTTTCGTTTTATATTGCAACAACATGTAGAAGTTTCAATTTCATACAAAAAAAACTATATGTGAAATTTCATTTCATAGGCACTTTAAGTAAAAATAAACAATTTGGAGTGAAATGTTGCTTATTCTAATTGAATATACAAGCAATTCATTTATATATTGGGAAATAAACATTGATATCTTATAATAACACAAAAAGATAATTGAAAGGCTACATGAGTATTTCAGAGATTGTGTGAAAATCCACTTCAGCTTAACAGGAAGTTGTACAAAATCCACAGCACAAAATTGTAGCAAAAGGTTATTCATGAAAATGCAACAGAACTTGAGAGACTTCAAGTAGCCATGAGTAAAATTAAATTAACCAAGAATAAATTATATGATTTATTAATACCTGCAGTATTCCTAGCACCAGATTTCCAAGGGTCTGGAGTGGCAATTTTTCCCAGCTTTTTCTGACCTAGAAAATGCATTTAGCTGTGATATTAAATAGTACACTGTTAACAACCTCTTGGCAGACAGACACAATTAAATTTTCTTATGTTCATGGTTTATGATTGTTTCTTGACTTGGTATGTTGATTTTTGATAGAAAAATACTTTTATTATCAGAAAAAAGATTAATTCTTGAAAAAGTCTGATCATGATAACATGTGTTAATCAAGGCAAAGTGAAGGGTCCTTAAGACATTTCCATGCGGGACACCACATATGATTTTTCAGGACTCTTGGTGGATCGATTTATTTAGACTTGGTGGGTTCTGTTTGAAAGATAGGATTTGAAACATTAGATAGGAAAGTTCCACTTATGCAGGCCTTGCACTAAGCAAAATGAAGGTGCTTCATAAAATGAGCTTCCATGAAATTCAAGGTGCTCTATTTCACACTTACATGTAAAATTGCAGTTTGCTAAAATTTGTGTTTTTTCTTCATGAAAATGTGTCCAAAGTTTTGCATCCAAACGGAAAAGATGCATTTTCAGATACCATTGTTTTTTAAATGATTTAACTCTCAAATTATGTTTATACATTTTGTATTTTCTATGCATGGAAAATAGCATTTTCATTCAAAAAGGTATTCTTGTAGATGTGGCCTTAAAGTGAACAGTATACAGAATCTAGTCAGCAAAAGATTAGTGGTATAAACTCTTGTATAAATCTTATAAACCAAAACATTTTGGTCAATTGAGAAGCTTGTCTATAGGGGCAATATCCTCTTACGTTTTCAGGCACTCATTAAATCGCTCTCCAAAACCAATTTTCAGGTGTGCTTTACAGTGGCGTGGTGGCAGGGGGGGCCAGGGGGGCCATGGCCCCCCCCCCTGAATAGGGGCGCAAATGGAAATAAGGGGGCGCCAAAATTGTTTGCTTGGAATATTTGGCTAGGAACATCAAAAGTGATCGTACACGGGTAGAACACTTCGCTATAACTTGCTGTGAACAATCTAAAATAACGTGAGATTCTACAATCGAAGCACGTTGGGCTGCCATGACCCAATCAACATTTGTTTCATATATTTTCGTGTTAACTATGTACGTGACTTCATGTTTAGCACGCCAACTAACGAAGATTTTGCGTATGCCAAAAATGTTTTCTATTAGTTTGTACTCAGAACGTCAAAAAGCCTGAGTGTACGTTAAAGATCTTTGGACCCAAATACATGGAATGCACCCTGGCAATCAATATAGCAGCTTCATGTTATTAACATCGATGTGACCATCACCCTTTCTTTCTTTATCCAACGCATGAATCCTCCCCTCCCAAATTTTTTCTAAAAATCAAAAATTCAATGTTTTTCTGAGCATCGTCGAACTGTCTATTCTGAGCGGTGTAGTAATTTGCTAAATTTTAGTCTGGGAGATGCATTTTTAGCCATTCTAGAAGGCTTGATTTCAAAAATTTTCTTCCGCGTCGGACCCAACCATGGTGGGTCCTCCTTTATCACTAAACTTGATCCTTAGCCCAACCCCAGATTTAATTTTGTGCCCGCCGCCTCTGTCCGATTTAATAGTGCGATTCAATGCTTCAAACTTCAAGTTGTTGAAAACTACTATTTAATAACTACTAAAGAATAACAAACTTGAACCATGTTTGTATATCATACATCATATATGCGATGAAACAAGGCTGATAAAATCGACCATAAGCAGTGTCGAAATGGACAAAGGTTACCTTTAGTTAAAAAAACTAAGGAGCCCGAAACAATAATTTGCTCTACGTAATTTTACTCTGAAGCTGGTATTCTGGATATAATAAACGAGGAGCCTGTATGAAACATCAGTGTAATTGGATAAAATGTCTTTTGATTAGTATTTTATGTTTTGCCTACCGTATTTCCTTGAAAATAGGCCGACTCTCGAAAATAAGCCAATTCAAAATAGCTTGATATTTTACTGAATCACGAGTAGGTCAAATGTTAGGATTACATAACTTTTCCATTTATATTCGCATTTTTAGTCAAACCTTATTTATGAAATTTTGGATTCAAATTGCAAAAATCGATTTCCCTTCTAGCAACACATGCTTTATATAACCACGATATTCTGTGACGATATATAGATAGGGCGCAAAAATTGACTTGGCCACCCCAGGGAAAACATAGCCACCCCGCCACTGGTGCTTTAGGCGCATGTGCTCAATAGAGCTCTTTTTTGGGCAAGTCCTGCTTATGCTATAATTTTTCTAGTAAAAATCCATGATTTACAGAATCAAAGGCCTTTGCTAGATTTTTTAGCTAATTGAAAACATTGAGAATACCTTACGAGGAAGATCATTTCTTTGGAAACCAAATTGGTCCAGAAATTTATTTATGTTTTGAGCAGAAATTTTACAAAACTATTATCTGTCAATTTTTTAAATTATATTCAAGTTTGATAATGGTGGTATTTGACTGTAGTTAGAAATGTCTAGCTTAAATTTGGCTTTATGAATTTAGGCACATCTTGGCAAAATTAAGACAACATAAGTAATGGCCTGGACTGAGAGTGAAGATTTGTGAATGTATGGATTCATTAACTTGTCAGTAAGTGTGTTTGATCTAGAATAGTTTTTGGAAACCTGTTCAATCAGATAAAATTTTCTGCTGGATAACTACTACATTGAACAGTTCTGCAACAAACACAAAGTTCTTGTACTAAGTACCTATCTAGAATCCTCAGTCTTGTTTGGATTTGTAATTGAAATCTTCAAGGACACTTTAACAAGTACGGTAATAACACTAGAGAGGGTGTATGTCTAGCTTACTTTGTGGGGTTTAACTTGAATCATCTTTTGGTTTTTCAATGTTTTTATGAATGTGTGATGGTTAAGTAGCTTCTTTGCTTAGTAGCTTCTTTGAAAGAAAGTAAAAAGTATTCATCGTCAAAGATATTGCAAAGCTATGATCATAAACCTCCTTGCTTGAGCTCCATAGATAAATAATGCGTGCATGATTCTGCTTTTCGGTGGAAAAATTTCTGAACCTCTGAAAATGTTTGCCAATTCGGGTAGGTTCCAATACTTTTCACAGCTCGGTACTGGAATCTGGAGATAACTAAATTAATCGGGATTTTTTATATATAATATAAGCTCCTGCTGATTTTGAATCATAAATCATAAGTTCGGTTTTTATATCGCCAGGCTCCGCGGGAAGGATTAAAACTAATAAGTCTAAATCGCTGTTCATCTCGTGTGTTTTTATACTTCTTCCACGAAATTACTGGCATTGTGTTCTTATTCATTCCAAAAAACGGCGAAAAACGAGCCTAGCTAGAGGCAACTTTTAACACGAAGCAATCAATTCTTAAAACAACGAATAGTTTCAATAACACAGCTCAGTTGGGCTATTTGTAGCATAACTGTAAGCTTACTCACATTTATCGCAAACCATTCTATAACAGGAGAGCTTTCTTATCCTGTATTCTTGTTTTTTTCTGTTTGTGTTTTTCTGTTATCCTTTTTCGACGAAGAACTTCCTGAGAACCTCAAGTACTTCATGTGTGCTTCCCTAATCGTTGTTGTTGTTCGCAGCACAGGTCACAGACCAGGTCTTCTGGATGTTCTTGGATCACCTTTCAAAATGTGCCAATTTTTCTCCTTGTTTCTAGCTGCCCTTAATCAAAACATTATCAATAGAATAGAATATGATCACAAAGATACTTTTTCAGTTAATTTTAAAGATCTTGAATAGTCATGATAAAGAGTTTTATTTGGATATGAGGCTTAAACCTGTCAAAGAATGCGATTAATTAGCGGCAACGTGGCTCAATTTTTCCACTCAGGTATAGATGTTTCTGAGCACGGTGACGCAAGGAGTAAGCTTTCGTCAAAACAAAAATATTTTGGACAAAGGTTTGGGCCTAATCTTTAATCATTCTCTCACTTTATGTTCCTCTCGGGGTTTAAGATGTGCATTTAAATGTGTGAACCTTTTCTGAGGACTACAAACGTGTTAAGTATCTTTCATCTTCATGCAGCCAATACTCTCCTTATCCAAATCAAATGAATACTTTTCCAAACTGTAATACTCTCTAGGATGAGATGAAGGAGCGAAGAAAACATAGAACCTCGAGGTTTTTTCAGTGCCAGGTTAGTACCTGATTCTGTTTTCTGTCAAAGGCAAGGTTGAAATTGAGGTTAAGCCAAATGTACAGTTATATTTGAAAGATACTGCAAATATAAACAAATTGATTTGTTGATAATTTGCCAAGATTTGACCGATTTGATAATTTGACCAATTTAGATCCCGGAATTTTATCATGCGCGGTTTGGCACACTCGCAGGGGAGTAAATTTGAATATTTGAGCTATAATTAGGGTGAAACTATCCATCAAAACAGGTTTTAGCATTGACATTCGTAAAAAGTGCTTTCGACTCAATCAGAAACGGGAAAATCGATCTTGGGGTCCATTACACTTTAATGTTTACCTTTACCTGAAGTTTACGTGTAGTTTACGTGTGAGCATGCAATTTCTTTGATTTTGCTAATAGTTCAAATTATTTCCTTTCTAAATACCGTACATTAAAGCAAACTTTTACCAATCTGTCAAATCATACTTTTGTATCTATCTTCGCTTATATTTGCGAAAGACACAGAATCGAACAATTCAAATGCGGGTTCGAATTGCACTACACAAACTCTAGTTGTTATATCAATTGGTACTTTTGATCAACTATTATTGTTGCCCGTCATTAAAGCCAAACAACACTGCTATTCCACAAGGAACTGCTTTCCTGATATTTGGAATAACTTCAATAGTTAGTCTTCCCCTATCAAATGCATGTACCATGCTTCAGAATTCAATTTCTCAAAATTTATGGCTTCACATCCTGTCCTGGAAACCAGCAATATAATAGTAAACTCTCTACCTGATAAATTTACTTGTTTCTTCTTCTACCGGTGGCGTGGCGTACACTTCATCAGTAGTCGGTTATTTTTACCGCCTTTCTTTGCGTCTCAGCAACCTACTTTTCATTTGAAAGCTACTTTTATTTGAAATTCTTTACAAATGGATAAAACGGTGAGACCGATCCATACAAAAGGTACATTGGCACTAACACCTGTCTACGGAACACCAACAGGTGCTTGTAGTCAGTGGCGGTTTTAAGGGGGTCCAGGGGGGGCCATGCACTTATGGTAGGCAAAAGGGGTCCCACACCTAAGAAAAAAGATGTTTTTGCTTTTATGTTTTTGTTTTTGCCCCGCAGATGTTTTTGGCCCCGGGCCCCGCAGTCCCTAAAACCGCTGCTGCTTGTAGTATTAAACCAGGGATTGTTTAATATAGGATTGGAAAATAGGGGAATTGTCGCCCAAGAGCGAAATATATGGGTCCAAGTGCTTTTGGTCAACTCGAGGGTGCTGATTTTGAAAATCGATGTTATCCGGGGATTTTTGAGGGCCATCAGCTTCTTTTTCATGTTTGAAGTCTCGCTTTTGCGTATATGAAGATATTTAATGAAAAAAGAGTTTAAATTGGAAGTCTTAAAGTTACCTAAACATATTTCTTGCGCATAAATGCGCAAAATTGAATTATGGTCTGTTAAGGGGAGGGGGGGCCAAAAGCCTCGTTTTTGCTATAAAATTGCGTAATCTTAATCATTTTATCCTTAAATCAGGGGCGGATCCAGCAAAAAACTTGACTGAGTTCCAGGCCAAGGCTAGGGTCTTTCAGATAATGCATTGATAATTGTTCCTAAGACAACATTATTATTCATATTTATGAATCGTGGTACCAGGGGGAGGGGTAGGTGCTATCCACTCACTAAATCTAGATTCTAGATTTCTTTCTGACAGAAAACAGTGCCTCTGTGAAAATTTTTGCAACCTCCTCCTTTTCACAATACCCTTTTGTTTGTCTTGGATGTCACAGCAAAGTTTGTCCCTTTTGTTTTGCTCGCAATTTGTTGTTTTGCCTCCGTAGACACCAGCATATTCATCAAAATATGGTGTTCCGTCTGAGCATAGGTCACCCGTGCCATTTAAGACTGCAATTTAAAACAAAGCTAGTTAATGATCCTGAAAATTAACGATATTTCCTTGTTTTATTTCAAACGCTTAATAATCTGCTAGAATGCTGCGATGGTCGTGAGTATAAGACATTTGCAGTCGCCATTTCGAATTCAATGTTTTGCAGTTCCACAATAGAATAGAAACAATAGGTAGCCAATCAACTACGGGCCACTGTACAGCTCTCTTACAAATATGGTATCATTTCCGAGTTCCAGATGCTGTTTTGACTGAGTTCCATCCGTGTTCCAAACAAAAATTTCATTCTTTCAATTCATTCACTTCCGAGGCACAAAACGTTTTTTTCCGAGCTCTAGGATTGACTGCTGTTGTCCTCCACAGCAGCTGAAAAATAGTTTCAAAATCACGAAAGAGAAGAAGGAAGGAAAAGGGCGAACGAATTACATCAAACTGGCAATTTCAAGATTTTGAAGATACCGCGATAAAACTCAAATTTTTATGTTTCACCTCTTTAGTTTAAGTATTACTTATTTCAGGCAGCACTTTTTTTAGCTATATGTTGGAAAACTGACTGAGTTCTGTGCACCAAGGAACTCACTCTGGATCCGCCTCTGTAAATAGACATCTAAATGGCTTAATACATCTTCAGTTGGGACTAGCTCTTGAATTGTCGTCCAAAGTAACCACGCAGCCCTTTTAATTAATAACTGATAAAAAGCACTAATGAACAAACAACCGGATCATCTAAACATCATTTCTAAGTTCCTTAAGATCGTCTTCTGAGTCAATGCACAAGACACACTGACGAACGAATCCTCATTCATCCCAACTATGATCTATCTACTAGGAAGCCCAACTGGAGCATCAAACCGCCAGCTTGTCTTTAAATCATAGCGATGTAGTTTGCACGTAGAATATTAAGCCTTATTTTTTCTTCACATGGCGGCAGAAGACTGAGATTTATGATCTCTTAATATCTTTCAAACTTCTTCACAAGCAATATATGTCGGAGAAGATTTACTCAAGACCTTCTTTGATTTCTATAAAATACAAGACCCAAGTATAGCTGGAAACATAGTTATAGCAGGAAAAAGCGTGCATGCAAAGTAATGCTTTCTTTTTCTAGAACTCATGATACCATGTCTATGAGAATCTATGAGAATCTTCGTTCCACCCAATTCATGGGACAAGAACATTGTTAGAATAGTTACTTGCCCAGTTTTTAAGAACTTCAACATGATCCTCTGTAACTTTTGTACACTGAAAATTGTGTGAAATGATCACTGTCTTGCTAAAAAGTTGACTACGATCTTTAATCATTGCAAGCTGCAAAGGATTAATTAATATTTCTTTGCTTTCTTTGTACAAAGTTCATTATCAATTAGTATTATATCTCAGTAAAAAGGGTATAAAAAGTTCACATAGAAGTCAGAGGACTTTGAAACGATTAAACTATCCATTTCGTATGATTTAAGGCATCTATATTTAAATAAATGACAAGACTTTGTCTCTGGTCTTATTTCAGTTCTGATGTCGTTATGCTATGTTCAAATATGGGAAAAAGTTAAATGCGTATTAAGTTTTTGTTGAAAAATCTAAATTTCTCGCCCGTTACATTTATGAGGCAAATACCTGACAATTATAGAGGAGTTCTGACCAAAGTTTTCAATTCTGAAGGGGTTACATTTTTCTTTGCAAATGATGCAATAAACGATAATTTTAGATAAAAATTGATATTATTGGTTCGGGGTTCCAAATCAAGCAAGACAGATATCATCAAGTGCAGTCATCGTCGAAATCATGAAGTGCAATCTGTCGTTAGACATATGGATGCAATTACGTATAGGATTGTTTACAAAATGGAGATGGAAAGATCTGACCCACTGCCCAGGGATCGTCAGCCTTCGAATTATCATTCTTGGGGAGGGGGCATCAAGCGTACATTTTACGTATGGGATTATAATACTGTTATCCATTTTGCAATATTTCAAGAATAATTTAAGGTGCAAATATCTCATTTCCCGTAGAATCATAGATATATGCGGTCAGCACACTGCTTCGCACTGTTTAGGGTTTCCATGGTAATATAATTAAATATCAACCTCTCTTCCCTCAATGACCTTGCCGTTCTGTTGTTGAAGTTGCAGGTTATTGAATTTTCCAATGAAACGTATTTATAAATGATTTTTCGGGGGTTATGCACAGTTCCTTCATTTGTTCAACTTTGCTCGAAAACATGAAGTTGGATTTCCTCCACTCTTCGTGTAGACACATGTTGAAAATATGGGAAGGAGGATATGAGTATAATTTGCAAATTCATCAAAATGTTTCTTAAAAGCAGTTTTTTATAAGATTGGATGAGCCCTATTCCGTAAAGATGCTCAAACTCTGTGTTTTAAAAGATTGGACAGGGCTCACACTACCAGGGGGCTGGGGTGGCCATGCTCTTCCTACTTCTTTGCGAAACAAGTAGCTTTGATGCTGCGTTAAAAGTGGAAAGAAGCCTTGGCCCACTACTTTTGCTAGCCTTGGCCCTCTTTTAAATTCGTGGCGTAGGCCCTATTGGACTACCCCATTCCGCAAAGAATCTCAAACCTGACTCCCTAATGCAACGCAGCATTTATCTGCAGCGTTATTTTCAATTTGAACATTTTGCCACATTCTCAGAAAGAAGTGATGCAGTCACCGGTTATTTTTTCTGAAAGTACTCTTGCACTTCAGAAGGAAATTTATTTTGTCAAGTTCATATCATCATGTGTTTTATGAAAAGTTACACAAACAGGTCCTCTGACGTGGGGGTGTTATTTTTGTCCTTGGCCCCCCCCCATTTTTCCATTTGCGTCAAAGCCCAAAATTCCTCCAAGCTTCTAAGCTAAGTATTAAATAATCTTTCTCAACTTTCATGATTCCAAAAATATTTTATTTTCGAAGGGTTTAATAAGAATTCGCATTCCATTCACAATAATGTTAGAACTGATTGAGGACCATTTAGGTGGTCCAACATTTTTGGCAAGGACCTAACCTATTCATATTTCAAAGGGCGGTAAATGTAACCGCACAAGCCACTCAAGGTTCAATACCCCTAAACAACAGTTCTTATTGTGCTTGTTATGGAAATCTTTGACAATAGTGACATTCCTTCTTACAAACGAAAATCTAGCAATTTACTCTGATTTTTAATTTGAAACTGCGAATGACAATACCCCCGTTCCCGAACTTCCTCTTTCAAGTACCAAATATCGGCGTTGGAAACAGCAGCATGGTTACTAGCTTACAAGTGATTAAGTTTATTTCTACAGAAAGCTTGTTAAACGGCTGTCAAAAATTACCCAATATTAACAGGAATCATTATATATTATATCAAACTGGACTTACTAAAGATATAGCCAAATATATCCAT